TGTATCAAAAAGTGTGTATCACAAAAAGTATAATATTTGTTGACCTTTGCTCCAACACATAATTAAACAAGCTATTAAGTTTTTAAATGATATTTGTAACATTAAGTTCAATAGATAACACATGCTAATAATTTCCTTCTGGTTGTTTGTTCAGTCTAATTTATTTTGATTTATAGATCTTCTTTTTTTTATATATAAAAATCAATTTCTGTCCCTTGGTCTTGCTAAAACTCAAAAATGGCTCAACCGATTTTTATTTTTTTGTTTATTGGGTCCCTGGACAGTTTAAAAACTCAATTGGACCCGGGAGGTGCCGCTGTTGTTGAGATCCAGAAATCACCCATGCAAAGCCAGGGCGGATCACTAGGTAAGTATAAAAATATTGGGTCCTTACATATAAAATTAGCATTTAGTCCTACTGACCACTTTGATCTGAAGTATCTCCTCTTTGGTTAAGAATTCCAAATTCAAATTTATAAATTCATTTAGCTGGTACATTTGAGTTTTGAAAACAGTCATTCATTTGTTTTATCCTCATTATTTTTCTCTTTGGCGTCACTTATTACCGCACAATGGAAAACATGAAATATCAGTATATTTAGGAGTACAAGTTCTACCATGACATCAGTGCTACAGAAACAACTCGAAGGATTAATGATGTGTACCGCGCTGGTTTCTTAAAAGAGATCACGGTACGTTTTTGGTGTCAACGTTTTCGTTCTGGAAATTTCGACCTTCAGAACCAACTCCATGGACGGCTGGAGACCAAGGTGGAAAATGAAGAATTAAAGGCTATTCTGGAAGCGGATCCATCACAAAGCACTTCAGAGATAGCTAGGCTTCGGGGTAAGTGATAAAACTGTACTTATCCACTTGAAGCGAATCAGGAAAGTAAAAAAACTTGAACGATGCGTACCTCATGATTTAAGTGAATCGAACTGGCAAACATTGATGTGTTACTTTGCTCAACCGACACAAAAATGAAGGGATTTTAAATCGAATCATTACTTGTGATGAAAAGTGGATACTGTACGATAATTGGAAGCGCTTGTCGCAATGGCTAACCCTGGAGACCCAGCCAAATCCTGCCCTTAATGAAAATTGACTCAGAAAAAGTTACTTGTGAGTGTTTGGTGGACTAGCGCTGGTGTCGTTCACTACAGCTTTCAAAAATCTTGTCAAACGATTACAGCAGATATATATTGTGAGCAACTGCAAACCATGAAGGAAGAACTAGCTGCTAAACAACCGAGATTGGTCAATCGCTCTAGGCCACTGCTGCTTCACAACAACGCAACACCAGATGAGCTACAATTGGAATGTCTGCAACATCCACCGTACTCCCCGGACCTTGCTCCAACAGATTACCATTTTTTCTGGAATTCGAACAACTTCTTACTAGGAAAAAAATTCAACTCCGTTGCGCTAGTCCAAACTGCCTTCAAAGAGTTTATTGATTCTCACCCCATGATTTTTTTAGTAAAGGGATCAATGAACTACCTACGAGATGGCAAAAGTGCATATATAACAATGGTGCATACTTTGATTAATTTAAATATATTTTACTAAAAAAATTGACTTTATATTCCTCCCGTACAAAATGCCAATTTCAAATTTTTATTTATTTATTTAATGCCTTATGGCATTCCCTACCAGAGAATTCTATAAGTATACAGCAGTATATATATTATATTTATATATAATTTTATAAGTATACTCCAGATAATGTTTATTGTTAACACACAATACCATAGAATTATGATATGCATCACATATTTTAAAATTAAAGGTAATAAATAGATTAATCTCTATAGAGAAAATGTAAACATAAATGACCTACGCCAATTCGATTCTTTTATAACTGCGCAAAAGTCGAATGGATTGTGCGACCTTGAAACGATAAAATTGTCGCTTGCTATGTTATGTTGGTAGATGGGTGTGTACGCTGTACGCGTCTCGTATCATAACATAATCATAACAAGTTATTAAAATAATAATAATAACAACCCACATGTCTACGATTATTATCAATTAAAAACAACTTTCACACTAACAATGTATTTATTTGGACTTATATTATATGTAAATTACTTTTATAAAAAGAATATTTCATTTTAAATTTATTAGTGCATGAGTCGTTATAACGTACATTCCAAAATATCCCCCCTTTACTTCGGGGGTAATTTGTTTTAAGTTGCAATTAAGCAGACTCCGTAGAATAAATAAATAGTACCTAAGTACTAATGAGAAATGCGTAGTCAGACGCCGGCACAATACAAACAAATAGTATAATGCAACTCAAATACAACTCTGTTCGCTTTATAGAGCCTTTCCAGAACTTTCTCTTCGATCAAACTATTAAAGAAGTAAATGTCAATAAATTTATATTATGTAAAAGAAAAGACAAAGGTTACCTTTCTTGGGTAGGCCCCTGCCGTGGCCATTTCGCGGTCTACGGCTGTTCTTCCAACTACGGTATTTTGGCAGTGGAGCTACCGGAGTAACTCCATCCTTGCTGTTGCTCCTCCCGTATTTCTTGTGTTTTCGCTTATTACGCCCAGAATGAGAACCGGCTGCGTCCCCAGCGCCTCCATCGGCGATCGACTTATCATTTTCGTCCACCGCCACGTTTTCCGTATCGGAAGCGATGCGGTCGACTTCCATTGCGATAACACCGGCGAGAGCTTTAGAATGCGTATATTAAGCAATAAACAAACGAAAAGAGAGCAAATTTCTATAATCTTTATTAAGAGCTTTAAAATTTACCACAGTAATCAATAAGAACAAACGTGATGCCCGTATCGTTTTCAGTGTTATGTATTTGTGTGTGCGAGTGCGTATTTGTTTTGAGAATACAATCAACGTGAAGTTAACTGAATAACACATCAGTGCTACCAGCGTAGATCATAAAATATTGCGGAACTATAACAATCAGGGCCTTAGAGTATAAATAAGCTAAGAGCTATAGAGCGCGCGTATCGTTAAGATAGTTTGTCTTTTTTTAGAATATTATTTTTTTGCTGAAAATAATAACTTATTTATATGTTAACTTAGAAGAAGCTATGATTAGTTATTTGAGAATATTCATGTTGAAAATACTTATGAGTGTGTTAACTTACAAGAAATTATATTTCATTATTTGAGTATTATTTTTCTTTTATTTATTCAGAAAATATTCGATGGAAATACTTTTTAACTAAGTGGTACTATATCTTGTTAATTAGTAATTAGTAGCAAATCATTTACTATGTTTCGTCTTGCTAACTCAAGTTGCGTAACTTGAGTTTTAACTGGGATTGCGTGAATTTTAACTCGAGTCGTAATTTTTCCGAGATGGAATACTTCTATGTTCTGTAAAAAAAATGGTAACTAAAGCACTACAGAGTAGCGAAAAGCAATATAGAATATTTTTATCACAAAAACAATGTTTATTTGCCTATATGTAACATAGGTACACTAGAAGAGGTTTTGGCCGTCGACAGATTGTTTGACAATTTGTCGCTCCTGTTTTGTTGCTTGAATAATGGTATTGTTGCGCACCTAAGTTGACGTCATGTTGTGTCAGGGACGAGAACGGGGGGGACTTTCCAGAAAATGACTAATCTTTCAACCGACAGCGCCATCTAGTGTCGAAACAAAGAATAAGCTTTTAGAAGCCGATACTCGAACTTTCGACGCCTTGCGTGTATTTACTTGAATGTTCTGGATGTTTCGGTGTTAATGTGTATTTATTGGCGCTGCAAGGTGCGATCGGGGAAGTATTGAATTTGGCGAGACAAGCGAAGCTTCGGAGCGAAATAAAGTGTATCAGTGTGATTAAATATTAGTGTTTTAAGTTTAATTAGTGTAAAGTGAATTAAAGCGTTAATTTTGGTAATTCAATCGGCAATTTTTATTGTCACGAACCCTAAGCTCGTAACAGTATGAAGTAGATTTTGATTCGTAAAAGTTCATATAGTTCATAATATTATATATTAGTCTATGGTCTATGTAGATAATCTTAAAAATTAAAACTGGTTATAACTTTTATCTCCCAATGTCTAAAAATCTAAGAATTTAAAAGAGGTTTGGCTATCTTACTATCTACCAATTAAAACCAAAAATATCCCAAAACACGAAATTTTATTAGCGGTACGAAACTCCCATACAAGCCTACCATACCATACTACCTACCATTCCCCTTTATGATTTGTGCTTATCACTCCCCAATAGATAACTGAAAGCATGGAGGTTAGAGAACAGGAGAACAATCGCCGTAGAAAATAGTGTCCCAGAAATATGGACACCATAAGTGAGGCGCTGCGATCGCTAAGTTCGGTTAATAAAAAGTAATTTTCAGTCTATTTTTCCGATCAATGCTAAACCACTTGCACATCTACGCACAATAAAAAAATATTTCTCCATTTTATAATGTTTCTTTTTGTCAAAAATTACAAAATTACAGAGCATGAAAATTTTCTCGCCTATGCCGCGGAGAAAATTTGTGCATTATTCAACTATTTGTAGGTACTCATAAACAGCTAACTTCGCAGTCACTACCGTGACGTCGGTGACGGTAGCGCCGCTAACCTAACCACTATAAATTCTACAATTTTCAAAGACAGGCGTGCTATGATTTAGTACGTAGTGATCGTTCTCCTGTTCTCTAACCTCCATGATCGGGATGTTGAATGTGAACCAAAGATAAAAACTTATAGTGTGAACTGTGAAGTTCCCTAAATATCTAAATAGTATATTACCTATGGTGTAAAGTGTGAACTAAAAGCAACATTCATACGTATCAAAAATTTTATAGTAATGTTTACATACAAGAATCAGGACCATACTAATTATCTTTAATATATACACAGTAATCTATGATCAGGACTTTAATTTCACGTTGTGATTAGAAAACGTATTTTGAAGAAAACTTAGACCCTCTGCTACAGAGGTCTCCAAACCCTTTAATCTTTATAAAAATGAAAAAATGGAAAGAAAACATTTTCTCTAAGAAATTTGATATGCTTAACACTCAAGAATACATACCTGATATATGTTGGTCATCTAGTGAATCGAGTGACTATGAAAACGTATCATCTAATTTGTTTTGTGATGCTATGACCTTGAAATCACTTAACCGTAAGAGAAAACGGAAAAAAAGTTTAAACAGAAATATTCCCAACTTAAATGTTAGTATTATAAAAGTACCGGAAGTCAAGAAAGAAATAAACTCACTAGAGAAGTCTCCAATTTTTAGTTCTACATGTAAAATAAATCAATGTTTGCAAAGCCCTATTTTAAAGAATTTAAAAAACCGCCTTCCATCTAATAAATGTGGTTTAGATACAGATTCGTCACCAGTGTTAAAAACTTTACCCACACGTCAAGAAAATAACTTTCATATGAAGAAAAAGAGTCCTGTATTGGTATTAAAACATAGATCACCTAGTAGGTCACCAAAAATAAAGAAGAAGCTCTTTGCATCTGAAAACTATGATATTAACGAAACATACACAGTAGAATCTAAGAATAAATATTCAATTATAAAATTAAACAAATTTTCATGTGATGATCATAAGTCCAAGGTTAGTAATGCCTATCAAAATAATAATTGTGATACTATTACAAATTCAAAACATCAAGTTCAAAAATCAGAAAATAAATTCATAACAGAAATAGAAAATAAGTTAAATCAAATCAAAAGTAGAGAAGAATCAAATAATTTACATGTTGACAATACTACATTTGCATCACACTCATTTGTAAATGTATTGAAGCCTAAGACTACAATAGATTTAGTAAAAAATGTGCAATTATATTTTGACAGTCATTTTAGTTCTGAAACTGCTTCACAACAGTCAATAAGTGAATGTGAGTCAACACCACAAAACACTTCAAAGTTCAGTGATGATGTAGAAATCGTCAGCTCTATGACACAAGCGAAAGATTCCTTACAAGCAGTCGAAGACACAATAAGCCCATTAGCACTCAATGAAAATTATGAGACAAACATAAACTGTGGAAAGTCAAAAAAGGTTAAATATAGAAAGGATGGACTGGCCTTCAGGCTCAGTGGCCTATTAAAAAAACAGAATGCTAAAATCTCTTTATGGCAACATGAAAAATTTCTAGCTCAAAATTCAAATTTTCTCATTCCAAAAAGTGAACACATTGTTTTCCGAATTCAAAAAGTCAATTTTAAATATGGCTCCTATATAATTGAAACAATGGATTTACATGACAAAAGGTTTTTAATATTTATAAATGGATATTATGTTAAGGATAGTTGCAATATTGTTCCTGATGTTATATTAAAGATATATGAACCATATAAGATACTAGATTTAACAAATGATTGTAAACTTGTGGTCAATGTTAGCAAGTTTGAGTGTGTGCCAATTGTAATGTAATATAAACATTGGGTGCGTTTGGCAGAAAAAAGCGCTTATAAGCGCTAAAATAGTTTTCGGCCAGGACACGATTGCTACTTCAGTAGCGCTGACACAATCCGCCATTTTGCTTATTTAATTTGTTTGTTTTGAAGTAGAGTTTATAAGTTGTTTTGTGCAATATTAGTTTTAAGTAATATAATGACATGAATAAACATAATACATGCTATTAAAAACTCATGATTGGTAAGTTTTTAATAATATGAATACTTTACAAACATATATTTAAATTAGGTTAGATTCCCCGGTTAAAACTAACATCGTGTCCTGGAGGAAAATAGCTACTTACGATTTGACAGGGCTTACCGCTTACGATCGCCATTTTGCTTACAAGCGCTTGCTAGCGCTTTTTTCTGCCAAACGCACCCAATGATTTAGCTATTATAGATACCTACAAACATTTGAAGTAGTTTTTATTTAATCTAAAATATTATACTTATTTTTTTCATATTTAATTGGCTTTGTTGAGCAATTTAATAGTAAATCTGGAAACATCTTGTTTTACAATGTGGTCACAACCACCACTCTTAATGAAGAGCCATTTAGGCAGGACAGGATTATAGTGTACAAATGTGTGTGCAAGCTGAAATATATTTTCTGTTCTCTCACTCCAATAGCCCAATGGGACTGCAATCTGACGCAATTGGAAAGAGATCAGGCGCAAGACCAACTTTAAATGCATTCTGAAGCACAGGGGTGAAACACCGCCAAATTATTTTGCTTGGCGGAAAAACCCAGTAACTGATTTCTGGCCTGATCTGGGATTCAAACTCAGGATATATATGGTCAGCAGTAATGTATACAACCACTAGTTCAACAAGGCAGTCCAGTCTGATATAGAAATATATATTGTTTATGGAGGTGTTAATTGATAGGATCTCCATTCATTTATCTTGGTTGGGGAATACAATATTAGATCTGTATAATTAGTGGTGTATAATGGGGGATTTTTTAGGAGTGTGTTTAACCATTTATTAGAAGTTATTAATGGAATAAATAGTTCATGCGGGTTAGATTGGCATGTGGAGGAGCAAAACTTGGCATATTTTGGTAACCCCTTGTGTGTCTTCACTTTAAGTGGTGTCCCTTTCACTTTCCAATACCATTACAGCCTATACAAGTCCACTGCTGAGCATAGGCCTACCCAATAGATTGCCTCATGGGGGTATTTAACCATATTTGACACTCCTGGCGAGCGGGTCGTCAACCGCAATTATTTATTATTTTAAGTTGTTAACAGAAAGATGCTGCTGCCGATCACCCGTTTTAATTTTTCTCTTCCGTCTCTTATGACAACCATATGACAAGGTAGTGGACATCTCTTATGACAGGGTATTGGACATCTCTTATGACAAGGTAGTGGACATCTCTTATGACAGGGTAGTGGATATTCTTACACCGCCACTACACGGAATGTGTTTCTTAAATCTTATTCATCACAAATTTATCAAAATTGTATAAAGTGGAAAGACAGTCTAAGTTTGTAATTTTTATTTCACTTTCCGTAACTCATTATAATGAACCCTACTATGCACATTTAATACATCTTTTCTACAAAAACTCTTTCCACAACTAGCACAGACGTATGGTCGGATACCATTGTGAGTCTTCTCATGGTTTGAAAGTTGTATTTTCTGCGTGAAAGACTTGTTGCATGTTTTACAATTGTATGGCTTTACACCACTATGGATAAGGGAGTGCCTGTGAAGAGAGCTCTTCTTGGAGAATCTGAAAAGAAAATGGATTCCTTATTTTAGTTCATGCCATTATCTTTATGCTTGCTATTGCAGTAATCATTACGCTTGGTAAGCAGATTGATGATTACAGTGCCCGGAACTCAGCTTCTGGTCACCGATCTTGGTTTTTCACATCTGGAAGCTATTAGATCTTCCTAGCATTCCATAGTTGCCTCTTATGATACCTTCCGGACAAATTGGGGTGATGCCTTCTTTCCTAACACTACACTGGCAAATTATTATTAATATCCATTTATTAACACTTTCACTGTCCGGTTTCCAGACAATAGTAAGAGTAGCAATAACCCATATGTGGGTCACGGGACAGTGTGTGTGTTAAGCTTTCCAGTTTTCCTAATTTTTAGTTCAGCAAACAGTAAAATGAGGCAGAACTTTTAAATTGTTTTTTAAAACAATGGTTGACAAACAAGCACACAGTCCACCTGATGGTAAGTGGATGCTGTGGCCCATAGACATCCACATTTATCCTCAATTAAGAATCAAACTGCAAATGTGTTGTCACCCCTGAGGACTACGATGGAATGCTTCATAGTGGTAGAGCCACGCGGCAGCTTTGCTGTCGCACGTAAGGGCCGGCTCAAACCGGGGTGGTACCACGACCTCACAGAATACCGGCGTGAAGTGGAAGCTCTGCTTCCGCGTTTCGTCTGGTGAGTGCAGGTGGCCGGAGGCCCAAATCCCCCCCCCATCAACATGGTAGCGGAATTAAATGATAGACTACCCCAGGAGGGTACCAGCAACCCTGGAGAATCCCTCGCTGAGCATCCACGACCATGTTTCTCCACTTCTGAGCGTGGGTGCTCAGGCTGCCCCCGCGTATTCTGGGGGGGGCGGGGGGCAAAATTCCGCTCAAGACTAAAACTGCTCGGGGCAAACGGAGCAACAAGACCAAGGCGACCCCTGCCACGCTGTCCGTGAATTTCTGCAATATCAGGGGACTTCACTCTAACCTAAACGCCGTCCACTACCATCTCGAGACGGCGAGGCTGGCTCTGCTCTTTCTGACCGAGACGCAGGTGTCCTCTCCGGCTGATGTCTCGTATCTCTCCTGCCCGGGGTACAAACTGGAACACTCCTTTGTGCCTCGGGCTGGATTTTGCGTTTACGTCAGAGAGGACATCTGTTCTCGACGCCTCGGCAGACTTGAAGGTTCGGACCTGTCCATCCTTTGGCTACGCGTAGACAGCGACGACCATCCGCGCGTCTACGGGTGCCTCTATAGGTCCCATAGCGGTAATGCCGAAACAGACCGACTCTTCGACCACGTCCAAATGGCTGCAGATTCGTTGCTACAGCAGATCCCCTCCGCAGAGATCGTGATCCTCGGCGACTTTAACGCCCATCACGCCGAATGGCTGGGTTCACGTTTAACCGATCATGCGGGGAGATCTGTTCATGATTTTGCCTTGGCATATGGTCTGACACAACTGGTTACTTCGCCTACGCGGATTCCAGATGTGGAGGATCATGCACCTTCCATGTTGGACCTTCTGCTGACCTCTCACCCGGACGGATATCAGATTTCCGTCGACGCCCCTTTAGGCTCCTCGGACCATTGTCTTGTCCGGAGTGTGGTGCCACTCACGCTGAAATCGCGGTTGCATTCTGCTGGCTGCCGCCGTGTTTGGCACTATAGGTCAGCCGATTGGGATGGGATGCGGTCTTTCTTTGCATCCTACCCTTGGGGGCGGGTTTGCTTCTCGCCGGACGATCCCAACGTTGTTGCGGATTCTGTCGCTGATGCGGTACTTCAGGGTATGGAACTTTTTATTCCTTCCTCTGTGGTGCCCATTGGAGGCAAATCTCAGCCATGGTTTGGTCGCTCCTGTAAAATAGCATCATGCTATAAGCAGGAGTGCTACCAAGCCTGGGCTGACGCATCAGCGTCCAGGGATGCAAACACCAGCGCTCTAAGAAAGAAGTATTATTCCGCCTCTAGGTCCTTCAAAAGAGTCATTGCCAAGGCAAAATCAGAGCACATAGGCAGAATTGGCGAGAGACTAGTTCGTCTTCCTTCTGGAACCCGTGCATTCTGGTCTCTCGCCAAGGCTGTCCAGGGGAATTTCTGTCAGCCATCTCTTCCATCTCTGCACAGGGAGGACGACTCACTGGCCCACACCGCAAAGGAGAAAGCCGATCTTCTAGGCTCTTTCTTTGCGTCTAACTCGACTCTCGATGACGGGGGCAGTACGCCGCCGACCATCCCGCGGTGTGAGTGCTCCATGCCGGAAGTGCAGTTCACTCAGCGCTCGGTTCGAAAAGCACTCCTCTCCCTGGACATCCACAAGTCGAGTGGGCCTGACGGAATCCCCCCAATTGTGCTGAGGACGTTTGCTCCAGAGTTGGCACCGGTTTTAACGCGTCTTTTCCGGTACTCCTACTCCCTAGGCGTAGTCCCAAAATCATGGAAGACGGCTTTCGTCCACCCGATCCCTAAAAAAGGCGACCGCTCAGACCCGTCCAACTACCGGCCTATCGCCATCACCTCCTTGTTCTCCAAAACAATGGAGTCCATTGTAAACTGCCAGCTCATGAGGTACCTTGAGGATCACCAGCTGATTAGTGACCACCAATACGGTTTTCGCCGTGGTAGGTCAGCTGGTGATCTTCTGGTCTACCTAACTCACAGATGGGCGGAGGCAGTAGAGTCCAAGGGGGAGGCATTGGCCGTTAGTTTGGACATTGCGAAGGCCTTCGATCGGGTTTGGCACAAAGCGCTTCTTTCGAAGCTCCCTTCCTATGGGCTTCCCGAGAAATTGTGCGATTGGATCACCAATTTTCTTGCAGATCGGAGCATCAAGGTCGTTGTAGACGGTGCAAGCTCCGATTGCAAGCCTATTAATGCTGGTGTTCCACAGGGCTGCGTGCTATCGCCAACGCTGTTTCTTCTGCATATCAATGATATGTTGCAAACCCGTAGCATTCATTGCTATGCAGATGACAGCACTGGTGATGCTCTTTACACCGGCCGAGCCAATATTTCTCGGGAAAACGTCTCTGAGTGCCGGGACAAAATTGTGTCTGAAGTCGAGTCTCTGCTGGACAGAGTCTCGGATTAGGGGCGACTAAATCTAGTCCAGTTTAACCCCCAGAAGACACAAGTTTGCGCGTTAACCGTTAAAAAGAACCCCTTTGTCGTATCCCCTCAGTTTCAAGGCACTCCTCTTGTTGCCTCAGCCAGTATCGGAATCCTCGGCGTCGACATATCGAGTGACGTGCAGTTTCGTGGTCACTTGGAAGGGAAGGCCAAATTGGCCTCTAAAAAGCTTGGCGTGCTCAGCAGAGCGGGACAGTATTTCATGCCGGCACACCGCCTGCAACTTTAGAAGGCGCAGGTTCGGCCGCTCATGGAATACTGTTCCCATCTCTGGGCTGGGGCTCCCCAGTACCAGCTCCTTCCACTTGACCGCATCCAGCGCAGAGCGGCTCGAATCGTCGACGACCGAGTGCTTTCCGATCGGCTCGATTCACTGGCGCTGCGAAGAGATGTTGCATCTCTTTGCGTATTTTATCGCATCTATCACGGGGAGTGCTCTGAGGAATTGTTCGGATTAATCCCAGCCGCCAAATTTCGTGAACGCACTACACGGCAAACGTCCCGATACCATCCACACCATCTGGATGCTTGGCGGTCCACCACTGTACGTTTCAAAAGGAGTTTTCTTCCGCATACAACCTCTCTGTGGAATAATTTACCACCGGCGGTTTTTCCGGACCGATACGACCTGGGGACCTTCAAGAAAAGAGCTTACTCCTTTCTATAGGGCCGGCAACGCACCTGCAATTCCCCTGGTGCGGTGCAATTGCGGTTGATCATGGGCGGCGGTAGTCACTTAACATCAGGTGAGCCACATGCTCGTTTGCCCCCCTCTTCTATAAAAAAAAAAAGTTCAATTCCAGTAAAAAGGGTCTCCGGTTCTCTACTCACACCATATGAAACACAGCAGCATTACACTGCTATTTTACACTGGTATTCTGTGAGAGTGTGGTCCTGCCCCGGTCGAGCCGACCCGTTCATGTTACAACGATAACATATTTGTAGCGTGGATGATAGAGCCACGTATACATGATTACGACATATACACATTTAAATGATTTTATTCAGCCCTTAAGCATGTTAAGAGCTGTGGTAGCTCAGGTGCTTGGTGCTCGCTGTAAATTTCACAGTATGTGATTAACCTGGGTTCAATATCAACCAGCATTAATGAAACTGTTAATTGCAATTTTAAGTGCTGATTTATTATGTGAGGAAAATGACATGTCTGAGAAAAAAGTGCCCTAAAACCCTCAAAGAAGTTAGAAGAGGCCTGTGCCTGCGTCACCAGGCCTATCAAAATCCCCCCTATGAGGCAATCTACGGAGGAAACCTATGTTCAGCAGTTGTCTTTTATAGGCTGTAATGGATGGATGGATAGAATGGAATCAGTAGAATCATGCTAAGTTCTACACCATGAAAGAAGTTAAAAAAAAATATAGATTATTATCCTACCTCATTCCACATATTTCACACTGGACTGGTTTATACCCGCTATGAATGTGCATGTGAGTTTCCAGAGAGTGTTTTGCAGTGAACTTTCTCTCGCATGTTTTACATGAATACAATTTCACTCCAGAATGACTAAGAATATGAATCTCATATTTACGTTTTATTGTGAACACCTTTGTACAAATTTTACATGTGAATATGTTTTGTAATGTATGTAACTTCATGTGCAGTGTCAGTGACTTCTTATTTTTATATTGCTTGCTGCAATTTCGACATTTGTGCATTTCTTTAACATGTTTGTAACATGAATTAGTTTGTATGTTTGTGTTTTCAGTTAATATATCCAACTGGTTAAAATTAGTTGAGATTACATGAGACTTCATATCTAGGGTCAGTCCTTTGGTGTTTAATGGCCCAAAATGAAAGGATTCTTTGTTTTTTATTTCATTTCTGTCTATATCTTCCATAATGGTTGTTTTATTTATATTATTTTCTATATTTTTGAATAAAGGTTTTATTTCAGTATTCCTTATTATTGGAACAATATTTGCCATACAGTTATCTCTTTCACAATTTATATTATTGTTATGGAATTTTATATGTCCCACTAATGTATCTTTCCTGGTGAATCCCCTACCACATATGTCACAGAGAAATAGTTTTTTATCACTGTGCACTGCATAATGTGACATTAAATGTACTTTCTGATAGAACCTTTTGAAACATTTATTACATTCAAAGGGTTTATCACCTTTATGTGTTATTAAATGTCTATCTAAGCAAAATTTACTTGTAAATGATCTACTACAAATTTCACATATGTAGCATCTTCCATTTTCATGAACTTTTATATGAATCTTCAGACTATGTTCATGGATATATTTTTTATCACATAAACTACATTGGAAATATTTGTCCTGCTGATGACTGTTTACATGGGTCATAAATTTACTTGGTAAAAAATATGACTTATCACACATGTGGCAAACATATTTAGTTTTTCTTGTATGAGTTTTCATGTGCAATATAAGATCAAATTTTCTAATATATTGTTCATTGCATTGATCACACTCGAACATTCTTTTCTATAGATATGATTTCCACAAACAATAAAGAAATATTATTAGCCAACATAAAATGCAATCATTCAATAAAGTAATCAAACCTTGTATAAGAATTTAAATTATTTACTATATGCTTATATCTAACTCAACTTTGCAATTGAAAGACATAATGTATTTTTCGGGTTTTAAAAAATAAAAGAAATTATAAATAAATCGTAAATGAGTGTGATTATGGGTTTAGCGCGCAATAATAACAATAAAATAAATTTAAAACTAAAATTTAAACAAAACAAAACAAAAAATATTTTGATTTGGTTCGCCGGCAATCAAGTCAGGCAGAGGTTTTAGACCTTCAAGCCTAGTCGGATTAGTTATGCTCACAATATTATATAATATTTGATATTATATAATTCCAAAACATATATACTTAAAAACAAAATCGTACTACTTTATATAAGCAATAAAACAGGAGCAGCAATCCCCCGGTCAAGTTTCTGGCAAAACTCTTGAAAGCCAATGAAATGTTTATAGCGAGGCTGCCAGACGAATACAAGTGGATTACAATTTTTAATTAATTTTAGATTGCATTTTTTATTGATCTGCTATCTTACGCAGATATTTTTTTATATAGGATAGGGTGACAAACGAGCACACAGTCCACCTGATGGTAAGTGGTTGCTGTGGCCCACACTTACATCTATCGTCGATTAAAAATCAAACTGCAGATGCGTTGTCACCCATGAGGAGCAAGATAGAATCCCTCGCTTCCAGTAAAAAGGGTCTCCAGTTCTCTCACCATATGAAACACAGCAGCATTAAATTACTATTTTACGTTCGTATTCTGTGAGAGCGTGGTCATTCCCCGGTCGAGCCGACCCATTCGTGCTAGAACTATGCCAGTAATATAGCTGCAGAATGGCTCTACCATAATTAAACGTTTATTCAGTGAGAGTGTGGTCCTTCCTCGGGCGAGGAAGTGCATTCGTGCTACAATCATAATACAGGTGCAGCAAGGCTCTAGCACGTGTGTATATGTGATGGATCAAGTGATTAATCAAGTCATTATTTATAATTCCCGGGCTATATGAATTGTAACAAGTCAAATCGGGCTACGTAATTAATACTCATTTAAACTTCATTATTTATCATATTATCTGGTCATAATGAACATTACTACAGAACTATTTAGCAACTTGGTATAACCTAACCTAACCTGTTAATTACTTTTAAGACAATAAGTTAATAATATATTAAGAGGGCATGTGCGTTTCGCGTCGAAAACTACATGTTTTATTGGTTTTTCCAAAGGCGATATCGTAACGATATGAGGAGATTATTTGCTGAAAATTAGGGCTTTAGAAAGATGAAGCCTTTATTTAGTACATAGCAATGCAAAATCATAGTTTTTAATGACGGTTTTTTAGGGCGAAGACAATCCCTTCACAGCGTTTTACGAAAATATGCATCAGAGTTATCTTTCAGGTTGAATACAACCATTATTATAAGCTAAAATACTTTATTTTAAGCGTTATTATAATGGAATATATAGTCTTTTAGTGTACAGCAAAACCTAAATTACGAAAGTATTTCGATTTAATATTATAAAATCACCAAAACTGTACTTCGATGTAATTTTTTCCATGTACTTGGTTGATTAAAACTACTTTTACGGATTTTATCGCGTTTTATTTATATTAATTTTAATACCCGACGTTTCGGGTGCTTTCCAGCACCCATGGTCACGGGGGACTGAGGTGACTGATATATTAATTTCCTCTATGGGTGACTGATGTCCCGATGTCAAAGTTAACCCGGAGTACCTTCAGCTTTTTAATTATTGTTTTTGGTCCGATCTATGCAGAATGAACTAACTGTATTTTGAAGTCTTGCAGTGGTACGCTTGGGTTTAGTTTTAATTTTATTAATTTATGGATCCCAAGCAGGTGGTAGTACCCAGCCTCCTTCTCTATTGAAATTAGGATGTTTTTTTAATTTAAATAGCCTCACGTATCATCCTTGGTAGGAATCGATGTTCTTTCGCGAGGATTTGTGGTCTATCAAATCTGATGTAATGGTTGGTTAAAATCCGTAAAAGTAGTTTTAATCAATGTATAGTGTTCGCGTAAATATAAGAAATCATCATGTACTTAGTTATAAACATATCTATTTTAATTATTTTATCCAAATACATGTAATGTTAAATATCCAAAAAAAATTTTAGCTCGTTTTATTTTGTCAATTATTTTATATAATTATTTTAAAAATACTATAAATCATCATACGCAGACGCCGCGCCGTTTGATTCAGTATCTGTACCATAGATAATGTCGCCTCTACACGTTGGCCAACACAGTGGCGAATGTAGTGGCGAATATATTGGCCGAGAGTTGGTGACGGCGTCCACACGTTGGAAGGTCGTTCAGTTTACTTCGGTTCGGGCCAATGTGCGGACGAATTTATAAGCACCGTGGCGCAGTGGCTCAGCAATGAGTGGCTGCGCCGGGCGCCGCGGGTTTGATCCCGCACGGAACAAGTATTTGTATGTCCTACAAATAATTGTTTCGGGTCTGGATGTGTGTACTTGTGCAATTTATGTTTGTAAACTGCCTGCGTGATACGGGAGAAAATCCTAGTGTGGGGTTAAAGTTTTATAAATGAATTATAAAATAATAGTGGTTATTAATGGGGCTGTAAATAGATATACGATATACGATTAGCTTTATTTATTCTTTACATGCATCATAAACTGAAATAAATGCCATTAATAAGAACTTAACTTATTTTAAAGTTAAAGGAGTTATAATCGATTAGTCTATGTTTTAAAATTGGGTTTTGATTTTAAAGTTTAGCAAAATATGTACTTGCATTTCTATCAGACATTTGATGTATATAAAAAACACCTTATAATTTATTTTGTAATTTAATTATTTTTTAAAAAGACAAAAACAATAGCAATAAATATAATTAACACTGACTTAATAATAGGTACTAATTATAAATTAGAACATAAATAAAAAACTCATGACGAGCAAAGTGGCTCAGGAACATGCTTTGCGGCAATCTGTAGAGGAGGATGTTCAGTAGTGGACTTGTGAAGAGCTGCAATGATGATGATGATTCGAAAACTTGCACGATTAAATTATAAGAAATCGACGTTTTTTTTATAGGATAGTGTGACAAACGAGCACACAGTTCACCTAATGGTAAGTGGTCTACGTGGCCCATAGAAATCTACATCTATCCTCGATTACGAATCAAAATGCAGATGCGTTGTCACCCGTGAGGACTAAGATGAAATGCCTCGTTTCCTTTAAAAAGGGTCTCTGGTTCTCTACACTCACTATACGAAACATAGCATCATTAAGCTACTATTTTACGCTGATATTCTGTGAGAGCGTGGTCCTTCTCCGGTCGAGCCGACCTTCGTGCTGCAACTATACTTTTAATATAATTGCATGGTTCTACCACGTATAAACGACGTGCTTCATTTTTTTTTCATTTTAAAATTGTTCTCGTAATAATCTGATTGTAAAAAATGTAAATTTTTTTGATAAATAGTTTATTGATTAAAACAAATGTTCAATAATAATTAAATCGCGCTAATTAAAGTGGTAGGAATGTTTAAAGTTGAAATTGGCACTAGAAGGCTGGTAATTGGGGCATCCACCCTACAAAACTTGAATATTAAATTTAAATCAGATGCGTGTAATCACTCTGGGAGCTTGTAGCAAACTAAACGCGCGGCCAACGTGTGGACGCGGCGACCAAACTACGCCAATAATCCTTTGATCTTTTGTAAAAAACCGACACCACACGGATCTCGCGCCAACTTGCGGGCCATCGTTCCAATACATACCAATGAAGCCCAAACACCCCGTCTACACGTTGGCCAATGCTATTGGCCACTACATTCGCCACTGTGTTGGCCAACGTGTAGAGGGGCCGTAATACCTATATACCAGAGAATCAGTACAGGAGTAATAGTGTTCTGTGATCACTGATCAGTACGCTCCGGGTAATCCCAACGACAGGACGTATTACTTTTATTCACCGACACCGCGCGATCGCGTTGATATACCGATGGGCTATACTACACTATACTATAACTAGCTACCTATAGCACTGTCGAGCATTTTAAACGATTGAGACTTTTATAAGCGATATTTTTGATAGTAAGTAAGTTTGAAATATGTTTATGATAGTTGTAATTGCTCGTATAAGGGAGCGTCGATAAAATAGAGCGGGTTTGCTGGCGGGATGTTAACTGGAGAGCATACAGTAGCAGTTAGATGAGCAATAAATAACACTTCTTGAGAGTTTCTTCTTATTTTATTTCTTGATTCCTTATTATTACATTGCCGGATTTGGAATATTTTACCACGAAAAAACGCCCCTTTTTTATAAGCGGCTGTAACCAATCATAATTAAGAAAAAATCACACACGGCATTAGTGAATCTATTGACCAATCAGAGCACAGAATAACCCTTTC